TCAGTTGCTGACTTCTAGACTGGGTTCTTCTCACAAGTGGTTATGTGGTTTGCTTTTCCTGCTCCTCTTTTCTCATCAAATAGCAAGACTCTGATTTCATCTCTGGGGTGGGGGAAGGGTGGAGAGGGAGGGAGAATCTTGCAGGTGATGAGCCCTGCACTCTCTTCTCCACCAGTAATGCCCCTGAAGTAGCTATCAGGTATTTCTTTAGAGTAGGATTTTTAACACGTGCCACAGGCTCATTTTTACTTCACAGGCTTCAGGTGAGTGGTTCTCCTCTGCTGAAATGTCTTCTTTTTTCCTCTTCAGGAACCTAAATCCTATCCCCACCTGCAGATGGCTTCCATATCACTTTCCTGTCTGTCTCTGCTCGACCCGACCCAGACTCTGACTCAACCAATGCTGACCAAGAGTCTACTATATGCCTGTCATTGTTTTGTTTTGTTTTTTTTTTTCTCATTAAACTTTGTTTTAATGGGTCTCAAAATTCTGTAACAGATTTTTGGTCAAGTTGTTTCCATTAAAAAGTACTGATTTTAAAAACTAATAACTTAAAACTGCCACACAAAAAGAAACAAAAGTGGTCCACAAAACATTCTCCTTTCCTTCTGAAGGTTTTACAATGCATTGTTATTAACAACCAGTCTTTTACTATTAAACTTAAATGGCCAATTGAAACAAACAGTTCTGAGACCGTTCTTCCACCACTGGGATTAAGAGTGGGGTGGCAGGTATTAGGGATAATATTCATTTAGCCTTCTGAGCTTTCTGGGCAGATTTGGTGACCTTGCCAGCTCCAGCAGCCTTCTTGTCCATTGCTTTGATGACACCCACAGCAACTGTCTGTCTCATATCACGAACAGCAAAACGACCCAGAGGAGGAAAGTCTGAGAAGCTCTCGACACACATGGGCTTGCCAGGGACCATATCGACAATGGCAGCATCACCAGACTTCAAGAATTTAGGACCATCCTCCAACTTCTTTCCAGAACGGCGATCAATCTTTTCCTTCAGCTCAGCAAACTTGCAGGCAATGTGAGCAGTGTGACAGTCCAGTACAGGAGCATAGCCAGCGCTAATTTGGCCTGGATGGTTCAGGATAATCACCTGAGCAGTGAAGCCTGCTGCTTCCATTGGTGGGTCATTTTTGCTGTCACCAGCAACGTTGCCACGACAAACATCTTTGACAGACACGTTCTTGACGTTGAAACCCACATTGTCCCCTGGAAGAGCCTCACTCAAAGCTTCATGGTGCATTTCAATGGACTTTACTTCAGTTGTAACATTGACTGGAGCAAAAGTGACCACCATGCCAGGTTTGAGAACACCAGTCTCCACTCGGCCCACAGGGACAGTGCCAATACCACCAATTTTGTAGACATCCTGGAGAGGCAGACGCAAGGGCTTGTCAGTTGGACGAGCTGGTGGCAGGATGCAACCCAGAGCTTCAAGCAGTGTGGTTCCACTGGCATTGCCATCTTTACGGGTGACTTTCCATCCCTTGAACCAAGGCATGTTAGCACTTGGCTCCAACATGTTGTCACCATTTCTGTCCAGCCAGAAATTGGCACAAATGCTACTGTGTCAGGGTTGTAGCAAATTTTCTTAATGTAAGTGCTGACTTCTTTAACAATTTCCTCATATCTCTTCTGGCTGTAGGGCGGCTCAGTGGAATCCATTTTTTTTCTTTTTTTCTTTTTGTGGGGGCCAAACCACGTGGCTTTATTATACACTCGTGGACGAGGTTCTGGGTCCCCAAGAGTGGGGGGCCCCGGAAGTCGCCCTGGAATCCATTTTGTTAACACCAACAATCAGTTGTTTCACACCTAGTGTGTAAGCCAGAAGGGCATGCTCATGGGTCTGCCTATTCTTTGAGACACCAGCTTCAAATTCACCAACACCAGCAGCAACAATCAGGACAGCACGGTCAGCCTGAGATGTGCCTGTAATCATGTTTTTGATACAGTCTCTATGTCCACATAATATTTGCTGGTCTCAAATTTCCACAGGGAGATATCAATGGTGATACCAGGCTCACGCTCAGCTTTCGGTTTATCCAAGACCCAGGCATACTTGAAGGAGCCCTTTCCCATTTCAGCGGCCTCCTTCTCAAATTTTTCAATGGTTCTTTTGTCGATCCCACCACATTTGTAGATCAGATGGCCAGTAGTGGTGGAGTTGCCCGAATCTACGTGTCCGATGACGACGATGTTGATGTGGGTCTTTTCCTTCCCCATTTTGGCTTTTATGGGTGGTTTTCACGGCACCTGTGTTCTGGCGGCAAACCCGTTGCTGTCATTGTTTATAGGAGCTTCCACTTGCCTTACTCCATTTCAACTCACAGAGAACATGTGAGGCAGGTATTTTTATTTCCCATTTAGAGCTGATATAACTCAGGCTCAAGAACTGCAGCTAAGAATTGCAGCTCCTTGACTCTCCAGGCTTTGTTCTTTCCCCACACCCCATAACTCAAGGTGTTTTTGCTTTTTCTTTATCAACCTCTGGTTTCCTTTGTGAAGATCCTATTATTTTTGTGTACCTTTTAGAAACTGCAAGAATTTTAGTTCAGGGTAAGGTAAACGTTATGTAACTGTAAGGTTTTTCGGCGGTGGCGAAAAGAAAAGAGACACAGAAAGAGAAAGAGTAGGGGGGGCCAAACCACGTGGCTTTATTATACACTTGTGGACGAGGTTCTGGGGCCCCAAGAGCAGGGGCCCCGGAAGTCGCCGCAGTTTGAAGGGGCTGAGGCCTTTTATACCCTTTGGGCGGGGCTAGGGACTTGTGGCGGGAAGAGCTGGGATTCTCTATTGTGACCTTGGAAGGTCGTTGAGAAATAGGAGGGGCTGGAGGTATTTGTGGAATCAGGAGCGAATCCAGGTGGACATCAGGGTGTGGTTCCTCTCAGTGGGGCCTGGCAATTTGTCCTTGGCAGATCAGGTCACTAAGCGTTTTCTTTTTCCATCTAGGGAGGGGAGGGGGCCCCTGCCACCAGCCTTACAGTAACAATTTGTGGAAGGTTGGAAGTTGAATAGTATCCATTTCACTTATGCTGGATATTAAAGTTTGCTGAAAAACATTTCATTGCAAGCATCCAAATTACTAGATCTTTGAAAATGAGAGGTAATGTTATATAATACTGGCAAAACCAAAAATCAGATAAAATATATATAAAAATATATATAAAGCTTTTTTTATATAGCTTTTTTTATATAAAGCTTTTTTTTTTTTTTTGAGACAAGGTCTCACTCTGTTGCCCCAATGGCATTATCATAGCTCACTGCAAGCTCAAACTCCTGGGCTTAAGTGATTTTCCTGCCTCAGCTTCCGAGCAGCTGGGCACCAGTATGCCCAGCTAATTTTTCTATTTTTTGGAGATATGAGGTCTCGCTCTTGCTCAGGATGGTCTCAAACTCTCTGCCTCAGTCTCCCAGAGTGTTAGGATTACAGGGGTGAGCCACCTTGCCTGGCCAAAATATAAAATCTTTGAACATTTGTATGGAGTAGAAGACAAAGAAAAATTGTCAGTATGCATGGATTCGGCAACAAAGCAAGACAAATTTATATTCATTTAGTTGAAATTGCAAAGGAGAGCAATCCTGCAAAACTAGTGAGAAAGGATTAATAAAGAGAATTTAATTGCAGTGGTCGTTATTACTAATAAGAGCAGGAAAATAAAAATATAATCGATATCCTCTTTAGTATCATCTTTACTATTTTATTTTAGTGAATATAACTTTTTTATTTGGATTTTTATATAGTTGGAGGTTCTGACCCCCATCTCCTAAACCCATTTTCTCCATGAGGGCATAAGATTTTCACCTGGAAATACTAGCGTTGTTTGTTTCTTTAAAAAAACAAAACAAACAAAAGAAAACCTCCCAATCACGGAAAGCAGAGGGGACTAGGCTTATTGTTTGAATTTCAAGGCTGTCCCGTCTGTGGCTAATCCGTGTCCATCCTTAACTTTTTCCTGTGTAGATCCACTAAGCGATGCTCCTGCTTATACGATTTTTAAATATTTCTCTTTGGGGAGAGAGATTTTGGGGAACGGGGATAAAGAAAAGGGCTTGGGAAAAAATCTCGAGTACTTTTTCTATTTTAGAAATAAAGGGAGAGCAGAAGCCAGAGCCCAGGAAACAGATTTGCATCTTAAAGGACTGTTCTATATCCTTAGGGGCCCTGATCAAGAAAGGGCTTTATCTGCAGTACTTTCAAGGTCCGGCTCCTTTTCTAGAAGTGTAGCTATTTGTAAACATATCTCCCTCGCTGGCCTGCATGTTATTGACCAGAGGGAGGGAGAAGGTGTCAATGTTTGGAGAGAGCTTAAAAAATGACCAAGAATTCAATCTTATTTGTTTCGCATTGCACAATCCCTTCACAACAATAATGGCAATGAAACCAAAGTTAATCCACAATCATGTCATCCTATTAAATCATTTGTTTACCTTATATTTTCCCTTTTATTCCCTCACACATTAAGCATTATGTAAATCTCTGATAGTCTTGGTTGAAGTGGTTTGTATACATCCTGAATACAAATTTGCATTTGCTTTTCTTTGTCCTTTTTGCTAAAATATTTCTGAGGCTGCAAAATACATTAATATATGCATAATACGGCTTTACTGGCTATCTAATAATAATTCCATCCCAGGCATACATTTTAAGAAACCATTTCAGTGCAAGAATCCAATTTCTAGGAGTCAACGCTAACCCATTTGACACTGCACAGCAAGGACCAGAGGTCGGTCAAGGTTAGGCCCAGGGCTCCAGGACGCTAGTGCAGAGGAGGGCGCCGCGGTGCAGGGGCCGGCTTGCCAACTCCTAGGGGCACCTGCTGTCTTGCCGCCTTTTTCTTCCAGCCTCGCGCCGCCCGCGCGCGCTCACACCCCTCCCCCAGGGCGGTCTGGTAGGTTAGGGCACCCCTCTCAGTACGTGCCGCAGGAAGTGACGCAATCTCTTGGCGGGGGTCGGGAGGGGCGGGGCCAGGCTATAAACTGCCGGTTGGGGGTGGCCATCCGGAGAGAGCGTTGGGATCGCGGCTGGTGGCCTGTACGGTGGCGGACCGAGGGGGTGCCTGTGTGAGTGACGCGCCGCTGCGGGACCTCAGTCGACCCTCGCGTCCTCCCCTCAGCCGGCGGGGCTGGTGCGAGCAGTCACCTCGGTGCTGTCCAGCAGCCTTTGGAGCCGCACGGGGAGCGGGGCGGCTGCGGCGGCCGCGGGCGGCGCGCGCGGGATGGAGCGGGCCCTCGAGCCAGTGGGGAAGGGGCCGCGGCGGCGCGACTAGCGGGCTGCAGGTGCAGGGGTGGGGCTGGGCGTCCCTTCCCTTCCGTGCCTTTCTGTGCCCGCCTTGGTCGCGGAGGGGGATGGCTTCCCTAGCAGGGCTCTGTGGGCGAAGTGAGGTGTACCCCGCCTTCGCTCTCCGCCCCGCCACTCTTCTCCCCGCTCTCTTGCCCCCGGCGGTCTCTGTGCCTCTCTAGCTCGCTCTTGAAAGCTGCAGGCCCCGGGGCGGCCCCAGATGCGGGCTTCCCGCGCCGGGCGGCCACGCTGCGGCAGCACTGGCCTGCGCCCGAGCACGTGGCTGGCCCCGGATGTCGCCCCGAGGAGCTACTGGAGGGGTGCATGGGTGACCTTGGGCTAGCAGCCCTTCTCTTTCTGGGCGCCCGGGCGGGCCCTGGTCTCACTGCTGGAAGGACAAAGCTGTCCCCGATTGGGTTACGAGTTGTGGGCATTTAGGTGGGAATTTCTGTAAACGTTACATTTGAGCTGGGGTACAGCCTGATCTTTCTTGCTGGGCTCTGCCTGTTGGCCTTGTGTGAATTCTGTTTTCCTAAGGCAGAGTCCGACTCAACGCTGCAGGTGTTCACGTTAAGAATTTTGCTAGCACTTCTTACTACGGCATGGGAGCCAATAGAATTAAGACGTATTTGTAAAAGATATTTAGAAGTTAGTTAGCTGTATGGTCTAAGGTCCGTGCTATATTTTTTGGTTTTTTTCCCTTTTATTTTATCGTGCTGTATTGATAAACACCATAGAGGCCGGGTGTGTCACTGTCTATTGGACAGTTCTTTAAGGGTAGGAAAATAATATTTGTGATTCAGCTCTTTTCAGTTAACACGTTACCTCTGCGTACTACTTACAATGACCTTGGGTACTTCACTTATTCAGGGGACTTGATTGCTGCTGCTTTTTCCTTTTTTTTTTTTTTTGGTAGTAAGATTAAGGTGGGAACTAATTGTGCTGTTACAGAAGTATTTGGCTCTCTGATGGCTTTATCTGAGCTTACATATGAATTTGGAATACTGGATGCTTGATTCAGTTATCTCTGAGCTGGGGGATTTGACCTCATTGACAAAGACATTTAAGCTGATTTCCAGAAATTACCTACTGTGAAAGCTAAATTTAGGTGCCCTTTTTGGCACCAGGCACCGTTTTCATGGAAGATAATTTTTTTCACGGACGGGGTTGGGGGAGGATGATGTCGGGATGATTCAAGTACATTTTATTATGCACTTCATTTCTTTTATTATTGCATTGTAATATATCATAAAATAATTATACAACTCACCATAGGTTGGAGACCCCTGTTCTAAAATACTTGTAGGCCCTGCTGGGGTTTTTTCTCAGCTTGGATTGTAAAATGCTTCAAAAAAAAATTTAGAGTTTAAAAGTTTGTCATTGATATCAAGGGGTTTTATATGTAGCATAGTTACCCTTTAAGTTTTCTTCCATGGGATATTCTTGTCAGGTAATGGTGGCTGTGAACCTACTAGCCTGAGTTGAAGATTATTGGATAGAAAAGAGTGGAGTGGGTGACTTTGCCCCAAGGCGAGGCGTTTATTTGCCTCTGATAGTGTACTTACCTATAATGGAGCAAGGTTCCTGGCTAAACCGGAATCAGACTACAATGAGAGCTACTTTAAAATAACCCTCTGGGGACTTTTGGAACTCTTCTGTGTTAGGTCCCTTCTGTCTCTGCTCCGAGATGAGAGATAAACACTACAAACACTACGTAAATAGACTGCAGTGACCTCATGTGGTCCTGACCTTCAAGTTGGGCAGTTTCATTTTAGGAAGCTGTATGGGAATGAAGATTCTGCTTGTTTTCTTTGATTTCTTCCACTGCCCTTTCATTTTAGGTCCATAAAGTTAGACTCTTAAAGCTAAGGGAGATTCTGACTGTCTCTTGTCAAGTCATTCTGGGTATATAAGAGTTCGGAGGACCCTGCAGAAGTTTTGTGGGTTCATGTAATCTTTTCTTTTTCACCTGGCTGATGCATAGTTGTCTAGGGAAATAGTTTGCATAATACCTACAGCCAGTTAGCTTGAGATCTTGGAGCTCTATGAGATAAACCTTATCAAGTTTTTTACTTTTTAAAAAATTCTCCTACTACTCAAACTTTGCCCAGAGGCTTCAGGACTTCAGGATAAACCAGAATAGTAGCAAGGATGGGAAAAGATTCCAGGTCCAAGGTTTTCATTTTTTGTTTGTTTTGGTACAGTGTCTAGCTCTGTTTCCGGGGCTGGAGTGACTTGGCGTGATCATAGCCTGGGCTCAAGTGATCCTCCCACCTCAGCTTCCCAGTAGCTAGGACTACAGGCATGTGCCACCATGCCTGGCTAATTAAAAAAAAAATTTGTGTGTGTGCAAACAGGATTTCACTATGTTGCCCAGGCTGGTCTCGAACTCCTGGGGCTCAAGTGATCCTCCTTCCTTGGTTTCCCAAAGTGCCGGAATTTGTAGGCATGATCCACTGCACCAGGCCTCTTCTACAGTATTTATCTTAAGAGTTGTTTGGCTTTTAGATATGGTAAATATTTTAACGGAACAACCGGTTTATAGACAGGGTGGTATTAAAACTGGTATGAAAAGTTTATCTCCCATGCTTTTAGTGCATATAAATTAGAGTGATTTCAGTTGGGATAAAATTCATTAAGGGGCTCTTTCAAATAAAAAGCTTCTTTACTGTGTGTGAGGTCATTTTGAAAGAATGACTCAGATTGCAGGAGTAATTTTTATGGCTGTCATAGAACTATTGTGGTCCACATGGATATGGAGCTAAATGAGGTTAAAATGGAAATTGCCTAGGTCACAATTTTTTTTCTCCAACTTGATTTATGTTATAGTCTACATTTGGGTCTGGGGGTTGAAATATGAAAAACATGTTTTCTTAGTAAAAGGCATACTTAGATTTTAGTTAGACATAGTCATTATTACATGTTCTATTAATATCTACCTGTTTCTGCAAACTTGTACTTAATCACATTTAAATCCTTTATCATTTATTTAACTGTATTATCACTTTACCCTTAAAATTAATTTTTTTTTTTTGAGACAGAGTCTTGATCTTGTCGCCCTGTCTAGAGTGCTGTGGCGTCATCATAGCTCACTGCAACCTCAAACTCCTGGGCTCAAGTGATCCTCCTGCCTCAGCCTCCTGAGTATCTGGGACTACAGGCGTGCATATTGCCTGGCTAATTTTTTCTATCCTTAGTAGAGGTGGAATCTCCCTATTGCTCAGGTTGGTCTTAAACTCCTGAGCTCAAGCAGTCCTCCCTCCTAGGCCTCCCAGAGTGCTAGCATAACAGGCCTAAGCCACCTTGCCTTGCCAAAAATTAATTTAAAACTAGAAAACTTGAAGAATGGCTGGTTCAGATGAGTGTTACACTTGAAAGCTGTTTTTTCCTAGAAAAGGGTGATTAAAATTGGTTCAGGGTGGGGCCTTTTCGTTCTGGCTCTAGAGATTGGGTTTGTACTGTTCTGGTGCAGTGGTAGTGATAAACACTTAGTACCAGAAGGGGCAAGAGATTGTGCTTCCAAGAATGTGATCTATTGCATATTGACTGTGGTCATTAAAGCTGTGGGATTTGGCCGGGCGCGGTGGCTCATGCCTGTAATCCTAGCATTCTGGGAGGCTGAGGCGGGCGAATCGCTCGAGATCAGGAGTTCGAAACCAGCCTGAGCAAGACTCCGTCTCTACCAAAAATAGAAAGAAATTAATTGACCAACTAAAAATATATATACAAAAAATTAGCCGGGCATGGTGGCACATGCTTAGTCACAGCTATCTGGCTAGGGGCGGAGACTCGCTGAGCCCAGGAGATTGAGGTTGCTGTGAGCCAGGCTGAAGCCATGGCCTCACTCTAGCCTGGGCAGAAGTGAGACTCTGTCTCAAAAAAAAAAAAAAAAAAAAAAAGCTGTGGGATTTATTTATTTGTTTTTGAGACAGAGTTTCAGTCTGTTGCCTGGGCTAGAGTGCAGTGGTATCATCATAGCTAACTGCAGCCTCAAACTCCTGGGCTCAGCAATCCCCCCCTCAGCCTCCTGAATAGCTGGTATTCAGCACACACCACCACATCTGGCCATTTTTCTATATTTCATAGAGAGGAGTCTCCATATGTTGCAGGCTGGTCTCAACTCTCAGGCTCAAGCAGTCTCCTGCCTTGGCCCCAAAATGCTGGGATTGCAGGCTTGAGCCAGAGCACCTGGCCAAAGCTTTCAGATTTAAAAACATTTTGTTAATAGTTTTAGATAGAAGACTTTCTAATGCCAGTTTATATGAATGTCCTTTGATTTATATCTGCATATACCTCACAGCTTGCTTTGTGCCATGTGTTTATATGCTATAAGTGTGACTTTATTTATGGAAGTCTTAAAATAGTATGCAATAAGTCTATTTGGGCCGGGCACTGTGGCTCAGGCCGTTAATCTAGCCTCTTGGGGGCAGAGCGGGCGGATTGCTCAAGGTCAGGAGTTCAAACCCCTGAGTAGAGCGAGACCCGTTCTACTATAAATAGAAAGATTAATTGGCAACTGATATAGTATATAAAAATTAGCCGGCATGGTGGCGCATGCCTGTAGTCCCAGCTACTCGGGAGGCTGAGGCAGAAGGATTCACTCAAGCCCAGAGATTGAGGTTGCTGTGAGCTAGGCTGACGCCACGCATTCACTCTAGCCTGGCAACAAAGCGAGACTCATGTCTCAAAAAAAAAAAAAATGTTTTGGTAAGTCTCAACGTGATATCCCACTCAAACATCTACATTCACTCAAAGGAAATTAGTTCAAAAATCCAGATGTCAGTGAACGCTTTAACTTAAAGTAGTTAAGTTTGTTGATTATAAAGCTGTATTTTGTTTTGACAAAAATGAAGGTTAATTTCTTAACTTTTTAGAGATGAGAACACAGTTTCTATAACCCAGTTACCTATTGAACTCCTGACCTTGAGCAATCCGCCCGCCTCGGCCTCCCAAGAGCTAGGATTACAGGCGTGAGCCACAGCGCCCGGCCAGCATGCCTGGTTTTGACTTAATTCTGTTTTATGGGATTTTTTTAAAGTGGGAGTCTATTGTCTTTTTGTATTTGTTGCTTTTAACTACTAAATTGCTTACATCTGCTTATCTGGGATGACATCCTAACTAGTTTTCCTCACATTTTAATTTTGAATAATTTCGAGTATGAATGAAAAATTGAAGTAGTAGTACAGTAACTATCCATATACCCTTTACCTAGTTTCACCAAGTGTTAACAATTTGCCTCATTTACTTTATTTCTTATAAACTTTTAAAAACAGAACTATTTTGAAAGTAAGTTACAGACATCATTATACTTTATCCTTAAATTCCTCATTATCAATCTCCTAAGAATGAAGGCATTCTTCTAAAAACACTATACCGTTATCACACTCCCCATATCTAACACTGATACAATAACATTATCCAGTTTGCAGTCCATATTCAGATTTCTTTGTCTCAATGATGTCTTTAATAGCTGTCCCCATTGCTACCTCACCTCATCTCAATTCAGGATCCAATCAAGGATCACACTACATTTGTCATGTAAACTAAATATTTTGGTTCAAGATCTTTTCTAGAAAAGTGATAATATATTTAAAAGTAAATTTGACATATAATAATGAATTAATCTAGCCTGGTAATGAAAAACCCCTAGTAATCTGATATAGTGGTATCTTTCATGATTAATTCTCTATTCTAATACTAGGTTCTTCTGTGTGGCAGTTCAGAATGATGGATCAAGCCAGATCAGCATTGTCTAACTTGGTAAGATATTTTCAGTTGTATTTTTGTGACCATAAGAATGTGAAATATACAAGCATGACTTTCACCCAATAAGCATGAAGTAATACCCAAAGCTATCACCAGGTATGCATTTATATTTTAACTGTTAGTCTTGAGGCATAACAGATCTTACAAAGGAAGGGTATATTTAGATTGGGTAGGGTTAGTTATGGAAAATATTTTAAGTAGTTTCAGAGTAGTTTAGGTATAATGAACGGGGACAGCCAAGAAGATAAGAGAAACTAAATAAAGCACTGATCAAAATATCTAGTAGGAGACACATAAAACAGAAAGACTGAAATGAAGACCAGTGTGTTATCTAGCCTTCATCTGCCATTGACTTAACTGGGCACAGGGAAAAATGTTGGTTTGAAAGGAGAACTTCTTTTCCCTAAAGAATGTATAGCAAGTCATAGTAAGTGGCCCAGTATAGTACCTGACAAAACTTTTTGCAAATGTTCCTTTCTTGTCCTTCATAATGCTTTCTTTTCTTTCTTTTTTTCCCCTCCAAAAAAATCTCAGTTTGGTGGCGAACCATTGTCATACACCCGATTTAGTCTGGCTCGTCAAGTAGATGGCGATAGCAGTCATGTGGAGATGAAACTAGCTGTAGATGAAGAAGAAAATACTGACAATAACATGAGGCCCAATGTCAGAAAACCAAAAAGGTTTAATGGGAATATCTGTGCAATCATTGCTGTCATCCTCTTTTTCTTCATTGGTAAGCATGGCCATTCAAAACTTAAATGATCCTTATAAACCCTAGGAAGTCTGGTTTTTCAGCTCAGCAGATATTTTGTACCTTTTTAAGTGCCACTAGGAATACAATCATGATTAAGGTTTTATACCTGCCACTGAATTTAGTTGGTAGAAGAAAAGAGAGACATGAATCATTTCCATATAATATGCAAATATTATGCTAGAAATACATAGAGGATATTTGTAGCATAGAAGCTCAGTCTAAGATTTCAAGGAGGGCTTCTGGGAAGAAAAGTTACCTATGCTTTGGACAAGTACCTGTTTGGAATGAAGTTATTGTATAATTTTTTAGATTAAATGTCTTAAAATGTACAAAATTAGGATGCATCATTTATTTCCAAACTACTTAGAATTTAGTTAAAACCAGTATTTGGGGCTAGGTGCAGTGTGGCTCATACCTGTAATCCCACCACTTTGGGTGACTGTGTGGTCAACATAGCGAGATCCCTTCTCTACAAAAATTTTAAAAATTAGCCAGATGTGGTGACGCACTTGTGTAGCCCCAGCTGCTCAGGAGGCTGCGGCAAGAGGTTTGCTTAAGCCCAGGAGTTGGATGCTGCAGTGAGCTATGATTGTGTACCTGCACTTCAGCCTGGGGTACAGAGTGAGACCCTGTCTTAGGGAAAAAAAGAAAACAGTTTTTTCAAGGTTTAGCTGAAAGTATCAATCACTACAGGATAGATTATAAATGAAATTCTATGAGTTTAGCTTTGAAACTTTTTGTCTTTAGGATTTATGATTGGCTACTTGGGCTACTGTAAAGGTGTAGAACCAAAAGCTGAGTGTGAGAGACTGGCAGGAACAGAGTCCCCAGAGATGGATGAGCCAGAAGAAGACTTCCCCAGAACACCTTCTCGCTTATATTGGGCAGACCTCAAAACAAAATTGTCAGAGAAACTGGATACCACAGAGTTCACCAGCACCATCAAGTAAGCTTGAGCAACTTCACAAGTTCAACCTCAATATGTAGACAGATACTTACTGATTATTAGATATAGTGAAACAGAACAAGGGTGGGTAGTCTTGAGGAAAGGCTTTTTAGGGTAGGGAGGGGAGATTTCCATGTTTAGCTAAAGGGGGGAGGGATCAGTAAAGAATTGAAACTATGCTGGTGGAGAAAAAGGGAAGAACTGGGGATTCTCCTTTTCCTTCTTATTTCTTATTTATTTGTTTATTTATTTTTAAGAAGACTGAGCCAGCCAGGAGTCGAACCTAGAATCTTCTGATCCATAGTCAGACACATTATCCATTGCACCACTGGTTCTTCTTTTCCTTAAAAAAAAAAATTCACAGGTCCTTGATGTTTTAGCCATCTGGTTGTTTGTAGCTTATTGCTTGCTGTCAGACTTTCTTCTGCTCTGATTTTCAAATTTAACCTTTTGTAATGTCATGCTGGGCTCTGCTCCTGTCCACAACAGCATCAGTAACCTACATCTTCTAGATCATGACTAACTTGACTGCCTGACTTGATATAGCTCTAGTATTCCTTGAATTTCTTTTTTGTTTGTTTTCTTGTCAAATCTGTGGGGAAAAGTATTCTTTGATCTCTACAGATTCTCACCCACTAACCCATACTGCAAGAAATGTTCTTAAGGTTTCTGTCCTTAGATTTTTAATATCTTCCATAGACATATGTCTCTGTGTAAAGAACAAATTCATCTTTTGCCTTTTACCAGCTTCCTACTGTTTCATTGGCACTATAATTCTTAGTTTTCCTTTCTTCCTTCTTTCCTCTCCCTCCCTCCTTCCTTCTCTTCTTCCTCCTTTCTTCCTTTTCTTCTTTCCTCCCTCCTTTCTTCCTCCTGCCCTTCCAACATTACAAGTAAACTTCCCTATTTAACTCTTTAAATTCTTTTATAAAGAAAGCCCTTTATCCAATCTATCTGCCAAAAAAAGAAAAAGGGAATCTTGGCATTTTTATTCTAGTGAATATTTTTGCATATACTATATGATAGGCAATATAGATAAAATGAGAATATAGTCTGCATACACACAAAATCAAAGACTTATAATATGCTTAGTCTATTTAGAAAGAGCCATGGGAGATCAGAACAAGGAGCAGTTTTGGGGGTTCATAATGTTTAAAGTAGGTGAAAATTGAAGCTGTACATCTTGACTTCACCAACAGTAGTACTCTTTCATTTTGCTTATAGTGTATCTCCTGGAAGCTACTTAGTTCCCCTAAAACTACCCTAAGGAGATAGGTAGTACTAGGATGGGGCTCATGAAGAAGTGCTTTATGGTGGTTAAAGAGGTTTTGATAAGTCTGAATTTACTTAAGATTTTGGGACCAATTTTTTTCTAAGTTTTTCTCTTATCTGATCAGTCCTGAAGTTTTGGGTCACAGTTCATTTATCTTAACTAGGAGGGATAATATTGAGTTATGCTATTGAAATAATTTGTTTGATCCTTCAGTTAAATATTTATTTGAAATTAAACTTAAGTTCATTTAAAAAGAGATTTTTTTCTTCTAGGCTGCTGAATGAAAATTCCTATGTCCCTCGTGAGGCTGGATCTCAAAAAGATGAAAATGTTGCATTTTATGTTGAAAATCAATTCAGTGAATTTAAACTTAGCAAAGTCTGGCGTGATGAACATTTCATTAAGATTCAGGTCAAAGGCAGGTATGTTGAAAGATGGTAAACTTATTTTATAGAAGTAGCTACTTTCAGATGTGCTAAATATAGCGAAGACTTTCAGAATAATAATCAAGGTTAAGATTTAGGGCTAAATTTCCTCAAGCCAAATAATGCAAGTCTAATGCTAAGTGTATTAAAGCTACTTAATTTTTTTCCTAAGAATGGTCTTAGTTTATTTTAACTTCATCTTTTTTAGCAGTGCTCCAAACTCTGTGACTGTAACAGATCTGAACGGTACGCTGGTATTCACGATGGATAATCCTGAGGGTTACATGGCATATAGTAAGGCTACGACAGTTACTGTAAGTAGGACAAAACAGTGCATCTCTTCCCTGTTAAATAGGGAACTCAAAAACTCATTATCTTTACTGTTCTTAGGAATTATTGTATGAATTTTCTTGTAAAATGGAACCAATCATGAGATATTTTTGTTCTCAACCCTCCAGTGCCACAGTCAAAATAAAATGCAAAGGCCTCATATTGTTTTGCAAGGCCTTGAATGACCTACTTACCTCCTTCATTCACGCTGCTCCGTCCACTCTGACCTTGCTGTTCTTCAAACACTTGAACTCAAGTATATTCCCACCTTAAGGCCTTTATAAAACTTGTCTTTCCCTTTGCCTGAAGCAGTCATCCCTTAAATATCAACATGGCTTGTTTCCTTACTTTGTGCAAGTCTCTTCTCCAGCATTACCTCATTGGGAGGGTTTATTTAATATTTTATCAAAAATATCTTCCCTGTGATTACTTTCCCCTCATCCTACTTTATTTTCCCTCATAGTACTTAATGGCACCTGACATCATGTAATTTTTTTGTTTCCACTAGAATGTAAGCTATGTAAAAAGCCAGGAATTCGTTTCCTTTCTGCCATATATAAGAGCCTTGAAGAATGCCTGACATGTGGTAGTATTTGCTAAATGAACACATTTATCAGATTCCCCCTTATGTGAAAACAGATCTCAATATCCATCTTGGCTGGTGTTTAAGGTTTAAAACCACATTTAAAACCACATTTGTATGTTAGGTATATCTACTGGGTACCTTCTAAAGCAGATGAAGTTTTATGGTTATTCTCTGCCTTCCTGAATACTTGTGCTGTATCACTTTCCCTGGCTACCTAGAAGCCAGGAGTTGGAGATGGATAGATTATTCCATTAAAGAATACTGAAGGGTCATAGTTCACCTACAAGCTTTCTATATGCAGCTACTTGGTTGTTAATGTCAGTTTATAGTTGTTCATCTGAACTCTAATATAGAGTTTAGGAACCTTATGACATCTAAACATCTAAAAGTTGATTTATACGGGCGCATCATTTTATTGCAGTAGGTTATTAAATATGAAATGTTCAATTTCAGATCAAAAGTGTAATTTAGTATGTCTCAAAACAAGAAGCAGTACAATTAAAGAATACATTTAAACTATCAACACAGTTTTGCCTTCATAATGGTAGCTTGTTTATGCCAGCAGCAAAGAAGGCTGGAGAGCAAGTGACGATGAAATCACGAAAGGCGTTTTCCACAGCTTGTTGAGAATTGAATATTTTTCCTTGCAAGAAGTGGTCCAAAGCCTGGAAGAAGTAGTAGTCAGTTGATTTAAGGTCTGGTGAATATGACAGATGACAGAGAGTTTCCAAGTTCAGCTTTTGTAACTTGAGCAGCATTGTTTGTGTGGCATGTGGCTGAGCATTGTCTTGCAAGAGGATTAGCCTGTCTCTTTTGACCAATCTCAGTGCTTAATCACAGGCATCCTCATCATTTCATCCAATTGGTTGCAGAACACATCTGCTGTAATCGACTGACCAGGTTTCATGAAGCTGTGGTGGATAATAGCGCTGGACCACCAAACACCGTTAGCTTTTTTTGATGAATATTCAGTTTTGGACTGTGTTTTGGCACTTCACCTTTATCTAGCCATTGTGCTCAACACTTGTGATTGTCAAAAAGAATCCATTTTTCATCACACGTAACAATATGATGTAGAAATGGTTCGCCTATATGTCGTGACAGCAAAGAAAGGCCAGTTTCCAGATGATTTCTCTTCTGATGCTTGTTTAATTTATGAAGAACCCATCTATCCAGCTTCTTTACCTTGCCCATTTGTTTCAAATGGTCCAATATTGTTGGAATAGTAATGTCCAATTTTGATGCTAATTCATGCGTAGGTTGATAAGAATTCACTTCCACTACGGCTTTTAGCTCATCATTATCCATTTTGGTCTCAGGTCGCTGGTGTGGCTCATTTTCAAGATCAAAATCACTAGAATGGAACTTCTCAAACCGTCTCTGCTGTACTGTGTGTTCATTAGAGGCATCCATCCCAAACACTTCGTTGATATTACAAGCTGTCAGCATTGCATTGGTTCTGTGATGGAATTTACATTCAAAAATAACATGAATTTTTGACTTATTGGTGGTTTCACAAAAATTACACTTAAAAAAATTTGAAAGATAATCACAAGCCAAACTATGCATTTGACAGAATGAGTGTGTACCTTCACAAAAATAAATGAGTGTCAAAGTGAAATGTCAGAGATATCAACTGTCAAGCTTAGTACTTAAGGAAATCAGACATTTCATACTTACTAACCTAAATAATGATGTTTACTAATTTTTGGACAGTTTTATTATCAGACCTTTCAGTTAAAACCTAATCCTATGTATGCCCTCAATTGTGTGGGGTTTGGTCATGGAAACGTCACATAATTGATGCTGCCATGACTAGCCTACATATGCCACTGTTTAACAAATCTTTTTGCGCTTTTTTCTTTCCCAGAAATATCTGAAGCAATGTAAAATACCCTTTAGATCAGGCGTCCTCAAACCACGGCCTGTAGGCCACATGCTGCCCGCCTAGGACATTTATTCAGCTCGCTGGGTTTTTTTTGCCACTGCTGCCTGTCCTGCTTAGCAGCCGACTTGTCCTGGGCCCACAATGAGCACTACTCTCCAATGGTCTGAGGGACAGTGAACTGGCCCCCAGTTTAAAAAGTTTGAGGACCCCTGTTTTAGATGAAAGGCAGCATGGGATACTGAGACACATGAATATAGGAAGCCCAAATTCACTCTGTTAACTCTGACCTAAAGTTCTAAAATTTTGCACTTGATCTTAGCCAAAAGGCCAAGAAGTGACGAAAGTTCTAAAGTTTTGACTTCAGAATTCACATATCTTTTTTAGGCCTTGGCCCCCTTTCTTCCCCTCTCATGGTTTCCTCTCAGGTTTGATTTGTAATAGCTGTCTTAGATACTAGAGTTGTTCTGGTAACTATAATGCTTACTAAATTTCATGTCTTTGTTCTAGGGTAAACTGATCCATGCTAATTTTGGCACTAAAAAAGACTTTGAGGATTTAAACTCTTCTGTGAATGGATCTTTAGTGATTGTTAGAGCAGGGAAAATCACATTTGCAGAAAAGGTGGGTATGAGAAATACATTGGTGTCTTATTCTTCAGTTAAATGATATTTCTTGTTAATTTTCTTACATTTTGAAAACTGTCAGTCTTAAACTCTTACACCTGATAATATAATTTATTTGAAGTGCTTAACAAATAAGTTCCACTTACCTAAAGTCACAGGTAACATCAAAACTATGACATATCCACTTGTACTATATTGCAGCCATTATCTTTCAATGAAAATGAAGTAATAAGATATGCTTAAATTAAATGAAAGTAGTTTAAATTGTGTCTGTGCATTCCAATTTTATGTATATATAGAATTCACTTACAAATTTGTTTTATAAAAGGAAATTAAAAGCCAAACCTACACAGACGAGACTGGAGCATATCAAAAAGACAATGGTTGTTTGGATGGGTGTTCGTTATTTTTCTTATCCATACTTTCCTTAATTCAAGAGTTTGTTTTAAGGGAGATATCCATTTTCTGAATGTTTAAGCTGTTTGAAACATTTGAGATTATTAGTCTAGTCCTCTGTAACCATTTGTCCTTTAGCATAAAATCAAGTATGTGTTCTTCTCATTTTATATGATCAGATCTTCATTTTCTGAGCTTTTTGTTTTTCTTTAGGTTGCAAATGCTGAAAGCTTAAATGCAATTGGTGTCTTGATATACATGGACCAGACTAAATTTCCCATTGTTGAAGCAGATGTTCCCTTCTTTGGACATGTGAGTTTCATTTCTTGAGTAAATGAGTTTTTGAGTTCTCCAAATTGTTACTGGATTCATCTATATTAGTAGAAATAGAATTGTGCCTTCATTAAATACACTTTTTCTGGGAGAGTTTTTTTTTGTTTGTTTGTTTTGTTTTTTTTTTGAGACAGAGTCTCGTTTTGTTTTCCATCTGTTGCCTGGGCTAGAGTGCAGTGGTATCATCATAGCTAACTGCAGCCTCAAACTCCTGGGCTCAGGCAATCCCCCCACCTCAGCCTCCTGAATAGCTGGTATTACAGGCACACACCACCACATCTGGCCAATTTTTCTATATTTCATAGAGACGGAGTCTCCATATGTTGCCAGGCTGGTCTCAAACTCTCAGGCTCAAGCAGTCCTCCTGCCTTGGCCTCCCAAAATGCTGGGATTGCAGGCTTGAGCCAGAGCACCTGGCCAAAGCTTTCAGATTTAAAAAACATTTTTGTTAATAAGTTTTAGATAGAGACTTTTTCTAATGCCAGTTTATATAATGTCCTTTGATTTATAATCTGCATATACCTCACAGCTTGCTTTGTGCCATGTGTTTAATATGCTATAAGTGTGACTTGTATATAGGAAAGTCTTAAAATAGTATGCAATAAATGTCTATTTGGGGCCGGGCACTGTGGCTCACGCCTGTAATCCTAGCTCTTGGGAGGCCGAGGCGGGCGGATTGCTCAAGGTCAGGAGTTCAAAACCAGCCTGAGCAGTAAACGAGACCCGTCTCTTACTAATATGAAAGATTCAATTGGCACTGAATATATAAACTCACAAAATTAGCCGGCCATGCGTGCGCATTGCCTTATAGTCCCAAAGCTACTCGGAAGGGCTGAGGCAGAAGGATCCACTCAAAGCCCAGGAGATTTGAGGTTGCTGTGAGCTAGGCTGACGCCACGGCACTCACTCTAGCCTGGACAAACCAAAGGGGGGGGGGGGGGCGCGGGGGTGACAAACAGCGAGAAATCTGTCTCAAAAAAAAAAAAACATGTCTATGTTGGAACGTCTCAACGTGATATCACCACTCAAACATACTACATTCACTCAAAGGAAATTAGTTCAAAATAAATGTCAGCTGAACGCTTTAACTTCAAAGTAGTTACCAGTTTTGTTGTATAAACGCGTATTTCTGTATTTTGACAACAATCGAGCGTTAAATCATTCTCAACTTTTCTAGATGAGAACACCAGTTTCCTTACACCCCAGTTACCTATTGAACTTCATTTTTAGACTTACCGGTTTCAGCCTTGAACCAACCAGTCACTTGGCCTCTCAGCATAAACTTTCTATTGGAAGGTGCTTGTGGATCTTTGTAGCATAGCCCTGGTTTCCTGACCCTTAATTCTGTTTTATGGGATTTTTTAAAGTGGCGTCTATTGTACTTTTGTTATTTGTGCTTTTAACCTACTAAATTGCTTACATCTCCCTCTGCTTATCTGGGATGACATCCTAACTACGTTTCCTCCACATTTTAATTTTGAATACATTTCTGAGTATGAATGAAAGCTTTGATTGAAGTAGTAGTAACCAGTACACCTATCCATTATACCCCTTTAACCCGCACGTTTCCACCACAAGTGTAACAATTTGCATCCATTTAGCATTCATATTCTTCTTATAAACTTTAAAAACGAACCTATTTTGAAAGTACGTTACAGACAGCCTCATTATACAACCCTTATCCTTAATTCCTCATTATCACTCACACTCCTAGAAGAACGGCATTCTCTAGAAAACACTATACGTTATCACACTCCCCCAATAATCTAAACTGATCACAATCACAATTATCAGTTCTGCAGTCATATTCCAGACCTTCTTTGCTCCATGATGATCTTTAACGAGCGTCCGCCATTGACTACCCTCACCTCATCTCACAATCCAGGATCCAATCAAGGATCACCAACTACAAAATTATGTCCATGTAAC